AGTCCATTTTCCAAAGTAGCTGTACCCATTTTTAGTCCTAGTGGCAGTGTATCAGAGTTTCCACTGCACCCGAGCTGGGTTTGCTCCGTGGTTAGAGCTTCGGCCCAAGGACTGAAGGGTCCCAGGTTTGATTCCAGCCCAGGGCATGTACCTTGGTTTCAGGCTCAGCCCCAGTTGGGGTGTGTGCAGGAGGCAACCAATCGATGTGTCTCGTTTCTCTCTCCCTCTCTCCCCCACTCTCTCTAAAATACAATGGAAAAAATATCCTTGGGTGAGGATTAAAACAAAAAAACAAAAACAAGAGTTTCCGTTGCTTCACGTTGGTATCAGCACTTGATATTGTTAGACTCTTCAATTTTTGCCAATCAAGTGGATATAAATTATCTCATTGTGATTTAAATTTATATTTTCCTAATTAATAATGAGATTGAGCATCTTCTATACTTATGGTCATTATGTTTCTCTTTGTGTCTTTATTTTTTTTTTCACAGTTAATTTTTTTGTTTAGATACTTTAGATTTACAGAAGTTACAAAAATGGTACAGAGTTCCCATATACCCTTTACCGAGCTGCTTCTTACGTTACTGTCTTACATTACTATCACTTATCAAAACTAAGAAATTAACTTTGGTACAATGCTGTTAAATCAAGTATAAAATTTACTCAACTCTTACCAGCTTTTTCACTACTATCCTTTTTCTGCTTGGGAATCTGGCCTGGATCCTACGCTGCAGTTACTTGTTGTGTTGCTGTAGTTGCTTCAGTTGTGATGATTCCTCAGCCTTGTCTTTCATGACCTTGGTACTTTTGAAGAGTGCTGGTCAGTGATTTTGTGGAATGTTTCTCAGTTTGGGTTTGTCTAATGATTTCTCACGATTAGATTGAGATTATGCATTACTGGGAAGGATGCCACGGAAGTGATGTGCATCGTATCGGGGTATATGACGATCACTTGGCTAAGCTGGTATCTGTCAGGATTTCTAACTTGTTATTTTTTCCTTGAAATTACTATACTATATTTTTGGGAAGATTTTTTTGAAACTGTGCAATTATTATGTTTCTGGTTAAACTTTCACTAGCTCATTTTAGCATTCATTTTTAATTGGACTGTTTGTCATTTGATTTTTTTGGAGTTAAAAAATATTCTAGAAAGTAATCCTTTTAGCAGTTACTATATGGAAAATATCTTTCCCCAGTTTATGAGTTATTAATGTTAACTTCTAGAAGAACAGGATTTTAAGTTGCATTTTCTAACTTTTAGTGCTGGTATACAGAATTACAGTTAATTTTTGTACATTAATCCTATATCCAGCCATCTTAGTATATCCCCTTATTAATTTCAGTACTTTGGATATACTGTAGTTTGCTTTGGATATTCTGTGTAGATAATCACATCATCAGCAGTAATAACATTCGCTTCTTCCATTCTAATCTTTATAACTTTTTTCTTATCTTACTGAACTGGCAGCTCACAATTTTACACACCAATAAATGATAAAAGTTCCATTTTGAATGAAAGCAATAGTAGCAAGCATTTTTTTCCTTATTCCTGATTTTTTTGTATGTTAATAGTAATAATTTTGATAATGTGGCAGCTGGTTATTAAAGGACAAAAAAGTTTACCTAAATACATGTCTTTGGGTTTTATTTGTTTTATTACCTTCAGTTTTTGTCGTTTTCCTCTGGAGTTTCAAGGAGGACTAGTATGTCTTTTTTTCAGGCTCAAAAGCATTAATTTATTCATTTATTTACTCACCCATCATGTGATGAGCAAGTCTCATTGTAGGACACAGAAATAAATGTTTACTCTCTTTAAGATGATCCTCCTTATCTATTGGTAAAAGCACTAAGACACAGCTAGAAAGTGGCAGTGCCCGAAAGGAGACATAACCAGGGGAGAGAGTACTGAGGAGAGAGATCTGTGCTGGGGACATGACTTCTTGGCCTTCCTCCTCTATCCTCTGAGATGAAATGAACTTGATTTATGTTTTGTGGGTGAGTTCAACATGAAGTCTTAAAGGGAGGATCTTTAAGATAGGAACATATTGCTTAAGGAAGGAGCCTTCATAGTATTTCTGTGCTCTAGAACCAGCAGTACTGTGTCAACGTGTAGTGAAGACTTTCAAGATATGTGATGTAAACAGTCCTGAGATTCTGTTTTTGGTAGGAAGAGCTTTACATTTTCTGTTGTAGAGTGAAGGGAGGGAAAGGGAAGTTTGCTTCTCATGGAAGACATTTTAAATATTTTATATTTGTTAGCATGCTTGTAGCACCAAGTGATAGACAACCCTGGCACAAATAGACTGTAATAATAAAGGAATTTATTATTGCACGTATGTGGGAATCCAGAGGTTGTGCAGACTCCAGGCCCAGTAGCCAGTGACTTCATGGTGTTATCAGGTTGCCTTGTGCTCTTCAGTGATCTAGTAGTAGATTCTCTGAGGCCATGTTGGTAGCTGCTACATGCAAGTATGGTCAGGCTATCCATGCTTTTTTGACCACATCCGACAAGGAAGGGGGAAGTCCTATCTGCCAATCATGATAATGATGACAGTCCCCCAGGGAGTCATGCCCTAGTAGATTCTGATTTTGTTTAGACCTCAATATAGTCTGATTTTTAGGGTGACCGCAGAATTTATGAGTAAGTAGACAGCATAAAATTCTTTCTGGGGCATCTAAGGCCCAGGTGCATGAGCTTTTTCAGCATGCTGACCTGTTGGATTTTATCTCCTGCAAGCTGCCCAGTCTATGCTGCTATCAAATAGATCTCCAATGGAAATCTATAATAAATTTATTTAAATAAGGTACTTGAGAAATGTTCTCTGGAGCTTAGTAAAATAAATGCTAATTACTACTAATAGAAACTTGGAGTCATTGATCACACTTGGAAGCCATAACTGAAATATAATTTTGTCTTTATGAGCCATGTTGTACTTTCAGTAAACAAATCAAGCTTCTTTGGACTCAGAATATAACCTGGTGAAAAGTTTTGCCAGAATACAAAGCGCCAACAAAATTAAACAAAAGACCAATTCTTTTTCTTTAAATTTCAGTAAAGGTCCATGACTGGTATGACTTGTCCTTACAATTAATGTTAGATCTCTCTTCACCTGCTTCCTTTTGTCCTTCCTTTTTACCTGCCCACCCCACAAAAGTGGTCCCATTCCCAGTACCAGTCGTCTTCTTGGAGTGACTTCTCCATATCTTGGTAGACCATAGTTCTTCATCTAGGAGTTTTTCAGAAGAGATTTGTGGGAACTATATTCCCTGAGTTCTTGCATTCAATGCTGTGAATTTTCCTGAAAGTACTGCTTTAGCTGTTTTTCGTAAATATTGGTGGTGTGTTTTATTCAGTTCAAATTCTCTTTTTATTTCTTTATCCCATGGTTATTTAATTTTTAAATATTTGTGGATCCTCCAGATAGCTTTCTGTTACTTTTTACCTTGTATTTTTGCTATCTTTGGGTTATGGATGTGCTTTCTGGAGATGACCATCTAGGGTTGAAGAGAAGATACTGGTCTGAGCCCACATTATATGTGAGGAGCCCATAGGCACCTGGAGCCTATGCTGGTGGGCAGGTGTATGTGTCGACTGTGGGCTCGCCTCTCTTGGCTGCTGTGGGAGAAATGGGGCCAGTCCTGCTATCACCACTGCAGTGTTCTAGTAGCAAGGCTGAAAATGGGAATTTGTTAGCAGTCTGCATATGAGGCAACCATCCCCCACCCCCACTGTGCGCATGAGAACTCTGGCGGCCAGGCATCTACCCTTACATGGGAAATGTGATCTTCTTCCAAGAAACTGAATGATCCCAGAGAAGGCCCCAATGGCAGATCTAAACTCCTTGCAGGAAGAGCTGAGGGCGGATTCCTGGATCATTCTGGTAGACCTGCAAAACAGAGGAGGTGGCCATCTTTGGTCTCTCAAACTCTTCTACAAAGGCAGCTGCTTCATATATCACATTTCCTATGGGCTGTCTGTACTAAACATATGACTTTAGACTTGTGGTCTGTATGTGGTATGCCAATATTTATGAGAGTGGGAGCTATCAGTTTGGACATATGTACAGATGAACCACAGATAAAGAATGAGGTCTGCCGCCTACAAGATGGAGCCCTACTCATAATGTCAGAACTATCCCATTCAAGTCAATCTTACTTTTAATGGACCAGTACCCTAAAATGTGAATAGTATTTTGCCCGGTGACTGGATTACAGATAATTTTCATCTCAGTGCATTTCTGTATTTTCTAACTTCTCTACAGTGAACATATATTACTTTTGTGTTCAGATAAAATATTTTAAAATATTAAGGTAAAAATTTGTAGAATTATGAAATATAAACATTGAATCTAATCTAGTGAGCATGACTTAGGTGTAGGTACTGTGAAACTAATGATTTAATAGGAAACTGGGTTGACCAGAATTGTCTCTAAAGGTGTTTGCAAGACGAAAAATTGACAAAAGCTTTTAACAAGATCAGTTTGACTTCTCCATGAAAAACAATTGCAGGAGTCCTAAGGAAAGCTGCCTGGCCCCACCTGGCCAGCGTGGCTCAGCATTGACCTATGATCCAGGAGATCGCGGTTTGATTCCTGGTCAGAGCACATGCTTGGGTTCCGGGCTCAATCCCTGGTGGGGGGCGTGCAGGAGGCAGCCAATCAATGACTCTGTTATCATTGATGTTTCTATCTCTCCCTTCCTCTCTGAAATCAATAAAGATATAAAAAAGGAAAAGAAAAAAGAAAAAGCTGTCTGGCCCCATTCCCCAGGTCATAATTCCTAAAGGAAGGTAAAATTACACCATAGCCATGGACTTAACAGAACAAGAGTATCATTGTCTCTTCTGCTTGGTCCCTCATTCACTTGTGATGGTGTTCCTGCTGGGGAAGGGCAGGAGGCTTTGAAGGCTTTCCTACTAACCTCAGTTTTAGAGAGGAAATGGATACCTATCTTTCATTTACTCACTAACACACTTGCTTCTCTCTGTCCCCTGTCCGCAGGCAGCTGGCTAAGAGTCTTGGGCAGGCTGGTGACATTGAGCCTGAAACAGAAGGAATACTAACAGAGCATGGTGTGGATTTCTCGGATTTCTCTTCAGAAGTTCTAGAATGTCTCCCTCAGGGCTCACCCTGGACAATACCACCAGAGGAATTCAGCAAGAGAAGAGATTTAAGGTAAATATCTGAAACTCTTTAAGAAAAACCTGTTTCTACCTTTCTGCCTTCTAACTTAATTTTCCCAGGAGCTGGGCTCAGATGTTTCCATCTTTCCATCAATATTCAAGTTCAGTTCAGTTGAGAATTAAGTGCTCTGTTACCAGAGGTTATCAAATTATGGCCCGCCAGCTAAATCCAGCCCACTGCTTGTTTATGTACAGCCCATGAGCTAAGAATGATTTTATATTTATAAATCTTTGGGGGAAAATCAAAACAAGAGTAATCTTTGAAAATTATGTGAAATTGAAATTTCAGCATCTGTAATGTTGCATTGGACACAGCCATGCTTGTTCAGTTGTGCATTGTTTCTGGGTGTATTTTTACACAACAAGAGAGTTGAGTAGCTGTAGGAGAGACCTATGGCCTGCGAAGCCTAAGAGATTTGCTCTCTGGCCCTTTCTAGAAAAAGTGTGCTGACCTCTGCTCTAGACCATCCTGATTTCAAAAGGCACAGTTGCCACCTTCCTTTCTCATTGCTCTACCCCACAGATCTGGTCAAATAAAGACATGTTATCTGGTTAGAAGTGCCTTCCTTTAAATGGGCCTCTTCAGGCACAGAGCAAGGGATTCAAGACTCTGCTTGGAGCTTCATTTTAAAGCTTTACTTTTAGGTCTGGAATTTGTTGGAAAGTACTTTTGTGGTATTTTTATAACAACATCTTCTTTGAAGATGTTTCTTCATTGTGGGATGTTAGTTCTTTTCTGATATTTCTCTTTAGAATTTGGTTTCAGAACTGGCATTCATTTTGGATGCCACATGGAGATAGTTAGAACCAAGAAACTTTTCATACAACCCACTGAGGCTGTGGAAGGTTTTTTGCTAAGGTCATCCCGTGTCAGAGTCTTTTCCACCACACTTGCTCACTTTGTGCAGCTGAACTTACGGTCCCTTCAGCTCCTGGTGCCCGTTCCTCCACCCCGTTTGGGAACCCTCCTTCTGTGTTCCCTCTTGCTATTGTATCTTTTAGGAATTTACTGCCTTTTTTTCTTTTCTTGCTGAAGGTAGGCAAGGAGGAGATGACAGTTAGTCCCTTTTCCTACTTGTTAGTAGCTTTGGTGGAACACACTGGAGTCTGTTAACTGAAGTCGCTGTCCTGGCCTTCAGCAGTAACCACTGTTCTTGGAACTCTGCTGGCCCCTTATCTTGTCTCAGGGCCTTTGAGATCTTGAGCTCAAAACCTTATTCTTTCTGACCCTTGTTTCCTCAAATACAAATCAAGGGGATTATTTTCTGAGAGCTTCTCCTAAATCTAGGAATCTTTAAAAAAAATGTAATGAGAAAAGGTCAGAATGAACAGCTGAACTTTTTTGTTTGAAATATAGGTTACTATAGCCATTCTGCAGTCACTATCAACATTTTAAATGTACCTACCCTTTCACCCCAAAACTCCGCTCCCAGGAATCCATCCTACTCAAAGTAGTATACAAGGATGTATACTCATTATTGGAAAGGCACCGCCGCTAATGACTATCGATAAAGGATGGTTCAAGAACCTGTGTCATATCAATGAGACAGCATCCCCTGCAGCCGCACGAAAGGAGCTAGGTCCGTGTGCACTGTCCTGAAGCGAGGCTGTTGTAGAAAGAAGCAAGTTTCACTTTCCTAGCTATGGACAGTGGGAGATGTGATGATAGGAGGAAGCTCAGAGAGATGAGATGCCAAAGGAATGTTATGAGAGAAGCCAACAAATGTGTATGGTCTTTAGAAGCTAGAAATGGCCAGGAGACAGCTTCTCCCCTAGTGCCTCTACAGCTGGACACAGTGCTGGTAACACTTGGGTTTTATCTAGCCCAGTGAGATTCACATTGGACTTCTGACCTACAGAACTGTAAGATAATAAATTTTTTTTGTTTTTTTAAAAAAGAAAAGAAAAGCAAGTTTCAGAATAACATGAATTTGAGCCCATTTTTTATATAGTCAAATAATATAAAAATCTATATAAATGTATATGCATACATATACATATATATATACACATAAAAGTATATATGCATAACAAATTCCTGGAAGGAAATTCAGACTTTTTTCTGTGGTTATTGACAATGATTAGCATGTGCAGACTTAGGGGAGTAGTAGGAGGTAGGGAGGCAATATTTTACTTTTCATTTTATAACTTATTCTAATATTCAAATTATTTTAAAACAACTTTATAACTTAAAAATTTTAAGTGGGACTATCAGAAAAGAGAGGTGCTCAACCATTTACAGTCTTACTTGTAGCCTACAGGTAAATAATGTCACTTCAACAAACACAGAGCCCAGTGTTGCTCAGTCCCCTCTCATGGCTCCACCTTGTCTTTTTCTTTGGTCCCCATTAGCTTTTGGGTAGACCACAGAATAGGAGGCCTTGCTCTGCAGAAAGCCTCTGTTAAAACATACCAATGTGTCCTGCAAATGGCTCCAGAGATACAGGGGGCTTATGGGATGCTCTCTGCTGTTAATATAGTAACAGGGTTTTTTTTTAAAAATCACTTTAACCTCCAAACACTTTCTCTCTGCCTATTATCTCGAGTATTATGTTTCTAAAATTCAAATCTGATTTTATTTTATTTTATTTTTTTACTGCTTTGGCCAAAAATCTTTCAACTGCTTCCTGGTGCATTAAAGTAGTAATCTCTTATTTTAACATTACAAGTGTACTTACTACTTTACTAATTTATTTTGTGTATTATAAATTTACATAAAAGAAAAATTAGAATGAAATACATTTTTAAATATTTTCATTTTACTTAGAAAAGGTATAGAAAACATCATATTAATAATTTTACTTTTGATGAAAGTAATGTGGTTGAATATTCTTTATTTTTAAAGTTTTGTTTTAACAATTTATGATGTGGAAATGCAAAGGTCTGATTATAAGTTCTATAAATTTAGTACTTAATTTTTATTTTAACTGAAAAAGATACCTGAACTTACTAAATCATAGTACTCATTTTTCATCCTACTCGCTGATTATATTCAGATCATTTTGCAATCCAGCTAATGAATTTCCATCTTTCATGTTAGTTCTTGTTGACTAATTGAAAGGTGCTACATTTTCAGATTTTTATGGTTCATAATCCTTGGTTATTCTTCAGTTGGCATCTTTAAAAACTAGTTAGAAAATTCTGTCAGGATGTTTTAAGTGTATAGGTACGAGTAGTTTTGTAGTTTGTACACTTAGATCATTTTAGGCTCCTAAATTGTATAACAATAGAAACATTTCAAAACATCCATTTTAAAAATTTTATCTTCAACACTTGAGTTTCTTGTTTTATTTTGTGTAAAAAACAACAACTTTTTTTCTCTTTGTTAAAAAGTCACCTTTACCTTGAAGGGATAGATTAAGTGTGTTTAATTTTGTCTAAGTATCTGCTCAGTAGCATATGATTGACATTCATTGTTTTGAAATCATAATGTGACTGATTATGAATTCCTATTAGGAGGGGATATCAACTTTGCTATTTTCCTGGTGTTGGCAGTATTAGTATTATTATTAGTTTAGTGTTATCTTTAGTCTGTGGATCTTTGCAATAATCTTTTTTAGCCACTCGCCTATTTTGTAAGGATTAGTTTAGCTAAAACTGGATAATTTCTGTAAATCCCCACTGAAAGCTGAAAGCATGGGAGCTAATGGGAGTGCCAGTGTCATTGTCTTGTTGTTCTGGAATGCCAACTTTCATCTGTACACCCCACTTTCCACCTGACCCACACACCTGGTGAGGGTGCACTGTTAATTCATGTGGTTATGTCATCATGGTTAGGTTTTTATTTTTTACCGTAAAAAACATAAAGAGAAGTCCATAGTATGCTGAAGTACTTGGATCTGATTACCTTTCCCTTTTCATTGGCTGGTCTTGTGATAGATTTGTTCAGTTTTTAAACTACCACATATTTCCTGAACACCATCCATGGGCAGTGGGGAATGAGCAATGAACAAGTATCGATCTGGTCTCTGTTCTCACGGAGCTCTCAGTCAGAGCAGAAGAGCATGGGTCAGACGTGTCCAGCAGCAGTCAAATGTGGACTGGTAATGGAGGAGAGAGGTCCTTGGTACAGGGTTTATAACACTGACTTCTTCTGCTCGGAGCTTCATACCTTCACAGAGTTTTTAATTTTCCCAGGAATGTCAAAAGAACTAGGAATGAGTCCCAGTGCTCAGTAAAAAACATGTGCTATGAATAAATTAATAGAGTGTGTAAATTCCTAAATAAAACCTTCTATGTCTTTTCCCTTTTCTTCTGTCCCATATACATTTATTTCTATGTATTATTATGTATGTATATATCATATATGCCAAGTAATAAGTTAGTCACTGGAGATACAAGGACAAGGAAGGCCAGCCTTTATTCTTCAGGAGTGTGCTGTTTCTCAGGGCGGCAGATTTATACGCAGGTAAGTTACAGCAGAGTCTGTCAAGTGCTGTAGTATCTGCATAAACAGACTGCCAAGGTCGTTTGCTGGTGCTTGAGCTGAGACCTGAGAAACGAGAGGGAACTAGAGTGACTACGGTAGGTTTCATTTCCATGATGAGCTGTGGCTGCAGAAAAGCTGACATGGTCCCCAGGACTCCCAGGTCCTTCTGTGACAGGGCTCACATCTCTTATGGTTTTGATACCTTCTTGACCCCCTCTGCTGGGCCACCCTGCCATGGAGCTGGCAGTGTTGCTCTGGCTCTAACTATGTAAGGACTTCAACATACCGGTTTAGGTTTGGTATTTGAACAATTATATTTGGAACAGAAAAGTTCCATCAATCTTTAAACCTCATAATCCAATTATGTCAGTAAAATTCCAGTTTTGTAGTCCAGTGGAATTGGGGTAATATTTTGCAAACTGAAGTTGAGAGAAATAATGTTTATTTTGAAAAGAAAAATGGTTGGTTAGCAATTTTCAAGAAGTAAGGCTGGTGTGAACTCCTAGGGGCGATCTGGCCCTTCTGATTGGGAGCACCATTTTCCGGACCTTAGGCTCCATGTC